GTTACATGAGTTCCAGATCAGCCAAATTGAGTTGAATCAACCCGTTTCCGGACTCGAACCAGGGTCTTTTTCTTTGTAAACAGCCACTGTACCACTTGGCCAAATGCTGTATGTAGATTTTTGAGGTTTTTCTTTGCTCAACAGGTTACATGAGTTCCAGATCAGCCAAAAATGAAAACACAGCACTCACTATAGTCAGTTGACGTGAATTTTCGGTGAGTGAAGTTTCTGCTGAAAATTGAAAATGAGAGATTTCCCGTTAAATTGACTGAACAAAGACAAAAAAAAGCTGTCAAAGAATTTCAAACGAAAAGTATGCCATTTTCGACTTACAAAAAAGATTCAAAAGCAAACGATTGTCTCACTGGTCCAATACAAATCGAGAAGAAATGTTTCGATAAACCGGGAGACAACAAAAAGCAGACTTTCCATTAGACTTCTCTCTCGGCCGACTTTCTTTCTCCTTTTTCTCACATTCTAGCGTTTTTTTGTTTAATTTTGGTCAATCTGGAACTCATGTAACCTGTTGAGCAAAGAAAAACCTCAAAAATTTACATATAGCATTTGGCCAAGTGGTAACGTGGCTATTTGCAAAAAAAAAGACCCTGGTTCGAGCCCGGGAACAAGTTGATTCAACTCAATTTGGCTGATCTGGAACTCATGTAACCCTTTGAGCAAAGAAAAACCTCAAAAATTTACATATAGCATTTGGCCAAGTGGTAACGTGGCTATTTGCAAAGAAAAAGACCCTGGTTCGAGCCCGGGAACAAGTTGATTCAACTCAATTTGGCTGATCTGGAACTCATGTAACCCTTTGAGCAAAGAAAAACCTCAAAAATCTACATATAGCATTTGGCCAAGTGGTAACGTGGCTGTCTGCAAGGGTAAAGACCCTGGCTCGAGTCCGGAAAAAGATTTATTCTATTTAATTTGTTCAATCTGGAACTCATGTAACCCGTTAAGCATTTAAAGAGTTCAAAAATTAGCATAGAAAACTTAGCGTAATGGACAGCTAAGGCAAAGATTCGATGACGGTTAAAATGGTTTCTTTTCTTTTCCTTTCTCGATAGATCAACTATTTCAATGAACCGAAAGATTTCAATGAACGAGAGACAATAAAAAAAACGTTTCCCAGTATTCCCTAACATTCGCCAGACTTCCCTAAAATTATCTCATTGATCTACTGTAATCACTCCCGAGATTTTCGGACTTTGCCCCTTTCTTTCTTCTCTTCTTTAAGATGTTGAGGGTGGGAATTAGAAAGAAAGAAAGAAGGAAAGAAGGAAAAAGAAAAAGCCAAACATTTCTCTTTTCCCATTTCCCTGTCACAAAATCGCGAAACAGAGAACAAGTGCACGTGAAGAAGAGTCGACTCAAATTTTGAGCTATCTATGGAAAACTTTGAGCTCAACAATGGCTATTCGAATGACTGCATCTAAGAATTCATCAAAAATCGAATTCTTTATTGATGAATCGAGTACGAGTACAAAATACGGGTTTCTCGATAGTTTTAGATTTTGAAATTACGTTGGTATCTTAGTTGGATGTCAGCTCGAAGATTAGAGTGATTGGATTTTCGAGTTTCTCAAAATATAGGCACTTGAATCAAGAATCGAGTTCTCGAACAAATACAAGCTCTCAGACATTTTTAGCTCTCAAAACTTTGACAATATCTTAGTTGGATATCACATATGCATTAGCTCGATTTGTAGCTGATTATCAGCAAAATTTGATGTTCTCAAAATTTTCGTTTGTCAGTGCTGAGGAGGAGAAAGCACTCGCTGTGCACGTGAACTAGCCGAGTCTTTCTCTCTCGCATAAACCCTCAAAATCTCCTCAAAGGAGCCATTTGGCAAAACGGTAAGCAAAACGGAAATCAAAACTCATTGAGGCTGACTCAACCTCAGAGTTCAGCTCTATGATAGGGACAAGAAGTCAAGTGACGATAAATTGACGATAAACTTTTTTTTTTCTTTTCAATAGCTCATGTGAGTTCCAGATTGAAAGATTCTAATCGTAAAATGTTAATTATTTTTATCTAAATGATAAAAGTGAGGTTAAAGTCGAAAAGGTTGTAAATCTAGATGAAAAGTGTTTTTGTTTTTTGTCTTTTGTGTTTCATTGGGTCACATTTGTTTCAGTTTAGTCGATTTTAATAAATAAAAGTTTAATTAACTTTAGAATAAACGATATAAATAAGATTAAAGTTGAAAAATTTTCGAAAAATCAACATTTCTGAGTTTTTTTTCTCGAAAAGAAAGCTGAATTTCGAATTATGTTTTTTTTTTTTTTAAACTTTGAATCGTTGTTGTTGATTGATAGAAATTTCGAGTTGTTTAAAGATCTTTGCGAACTTTGTCGCTTTCTATTTTATTGCTGGGAACAATTTTGTTGACAAATCGAGAAGAAGGAGAAATTTCTCGAAGTGACTCTCGACTCAATTGAACAATTCCAATTGAACAATATCAATTGAACAATTCCAATTGAACAATATCAATTCCCCGGCTAAGAGTTCAATGGTTTCAAGAGCGAAAATTTGCAAAATGTTTTCCCAAAAGAAAAAGTGCATTTTAAAATTTTTTTTTTCTTGAGAAATCTATGCACTTTTAAAGAAATTTCTTTGGAATTTCAAAATTTTCAAATTAAAAACGAGTCGTTTATTGATATTCATTGATTTAGAAACATTTTAAAGAATCTTTTTGCGATTTCCCTTTAACTTTACCTTCATTCACTTGTAAATTTGAATGGTTTTGGGTTTTGTTGACAAAGCTTTTCGAAAAAGTCCAGTCTAACTAACTTGTTAGATCTATATGTTAGATTTAGAGACTTTTTTAGTAATTTTCTTTCAAGCTGGAACGCACGAAGGCTGGCAAAGTGAAAAGAAAACGGTTTTAATGAATTTAAGGATTTTCATTATTGAAGTTGAAGCCACGGAGGGCCAAAAGTATTCAAATTTCTATGAATTCTAGATTTCTTTTGTAATTTTCTTTCAAGCTGGAACGCACGAAGGCTGGCAAAGTGAAAAGAAAACGGTTTTGATCCATTTAAGAATTTTCATTATTGAAGTTGAAGCCACGGAGGGCTAAAAGTATGCAAATTTCTAGAAATTCTAGATTTCTTTTGTAATTTTCTTTCAAGCTGGAACGCACGAAGGCTGGCAAAGTGAAAAGAAAATGGTTTTAATGAATTTAAGAATTTTCATTGTTGACTAATGACTGAATAACTAAAGACTTTTTATCGGCTTTAAATGAAAGAAACGATTTCGATTGATTTCTTTGCTATTGTCCTTACATTGCTGGTGATCCTTGATTGTAAACGAATTTCAAACTTTCGTCTTTCAGGGATTCCCCCGTCGACTCGAACTCTGTCCATTAGCTCTGTCCATCTTTTTGTCTTTTCGATTCATTTTCTCTTTTCATAAAGATCTCTGAGATGAGACTTGCGGGCAATTGCATCAGTTTGGGGAAACCAAAAAAAAAAAGCACAAGATAGCCGCTTGCAAAACGAAAAACAAGAGATTCGTCTGACGAAAAACGTATTTTACTTGAAATCAGCCAAACCCGGAGAAACGAGTGTTACAACAGTAGATTACAGACTGTTACAACAGATCCTATGCCTTTAGTTAACAATCTAGTTCTCTCATCCTGGCTTTTGTCCTAATCCTGACCCTGGACTGGCTTTGGTTTGATCCTGGACTGGCTTTGAGCCTGGCTCTGACTATGTCCTTGATCTTGACTTTGATTCTGACCTTGGTTCTGAACCTGATCCTTATCTTGACCCTAGTTTTGGCCTTGGTTCTAGACCTGATCCTGGTCTTGATCTTGACACTGGTGGCTTGGTCTTGAGCTTGGCCCTGGCCTGGAACTGGCCCTGGACTGGGCTAGGTTCTGGCTCTGATCTTGACCTTGATTTTGATCCTAGTGACTTGGTTCTGATCCTAGTCCTAGCCCTGGTTCTTCCCTGGACTGGTCTTGGTTCTGGCTTGGTTCTGGCTTTGTGCTAAGTCTGGCTTGGTTCTGGTATTGATCTAAAAGCTGACAATAGTGAAGAGAGTTTGAAGAGACAACTCAAGCTCCCATTTGCTACAATAATGCTACAATAATCGTTGTCATTCTTGTCTTGAATCCACAACTACAAACTCAAAGTCAACTTCGCTAAACTAGCAAAACGAAAATCACGAAAACCTCTCGTACTTTGTTCTTGTCTCGGTGAGCTCAGCTACTCCCTTTATCACTCTTTCACGTGCCACTATATCTTGCGGGAACTCCCCCAACTGTTGACATGATTTGATCGCCAAATTGCATCAGTCTTTAATGTACAAAGAGAAAAGAAAAAAAACAGAGACTTCTCCAAAAAAAGTCATTCACGTGCACATCAAATTTTTAAACAGCATATTTCTAACTTCTTAGATTCTTAACAGGTTACATGAGTTCCAGATCAGTCAAATTAAATAGAATCAACCCGTTTCCGGGCTCGAACCAGGGTCTTTTTCTTTGCAAACAGCCACGTTACCATTCGGCCAAACGCTATATGTAGATTTTTGAGGGTTTTCTTTGCTCAACAGGTTACATGAGTTCCAGATCAGCCAAATTAAATAGAATCAACCCGTTTCCGGGCTCGAACCAGGGTCTTTTTCTTTGTAAATAGCCACGTTACCACTTCACCAAATGTTGTATGTAAATTTTTGAGGTTTTTCTTTCCTCAACAGTTTACATGCGTTCCAGATCAGTCAAAAATCAAAACACAGTACTCAAAATAGTCAAAGAGGGCTCACAAAAGCTGACAAAAGCAAGGCAATGCCCTCATTCACGTGTACTCTGTGCTGTGTGGCGACGGTGGCGGCGGCGGCGGGGCGTCGCGGCGCGTTTCTCTCCGCCCATTTCGCCCCTATATTAGTCGATTTCTCCCAGTGGCGAGCAATCACTCTATTTGCGAGAAAAAAGTGAAATCAATTCCTAACTCAATTCCGAGCTAAACTTTGTTATTGTTTTTCTTTAACGATGTCGTGTACATTAGAGGCATCGACGAGTCACGAATGCATCGGAAAAACGGTTTGTTTTAATGTTTTCAATATTTATCGGTAATTTTTATGTAATTCTTTCAATTCTTTTCATTTTTTTTCATTTTTTCCTCATTTTTACAGTTTTTTTTATATAAAATCGTTAAAATTCCATGATTTTTATAAAAAAAAACTTCTTGTTTTCATGTTTTTTGGAAAAAAGTGGAATCTAGCTGGAGTCTAGCTGGAATCTAGCTGGAATCTAGCTGGAATCTAGCTGGAATCTAGCTGGAATCTAGCTGGAATCTAGCTGGAATCTAGCTGGAATCTAGCTGGAATCTAGCTGGAATCTAGCTGGAATCTAGCTGGAATCTAGCTGGAATCTAGCTGGAATCTAGCTGGGATTTAGCTGGAATCTAGCTGGGATTTAGCTGGGATTTAGCTGGAATCTAGCTGGAATCTAGCTCAAATATATAGCTTTTAAGCTTCTTTTCGATTCTAGAAAGTTTATCCTAAAGAAATCAACAAATTACCTGCAAAAAAATCGATTTTCCATATCATTAGTTGAAAAAAAATGTTTCGATTGGGTTGGGATTGATTTGGGAAACTTTGAAGGACTTTTAATGGCTTTTAATGGCTTTCAATGCCTTTCAATGCATTTCAATGCTTTTCAATGCATTTCAATGCCTTTCAATGCCTTTCAATGATTGAAAAAAATGCCTGAATTGGGCTAAAATCAATTTGGACAACTTTTAATGACCTTTAATGCCTTTCAATGGCTCTCAATGCCTTTCAATGCTTTTCAATGATTGAGAAAATGTTTGAATTGGGTTGGAATCAATTTGGACAGCTTTTAACAGCTTTTAATAACTTTTAATGCCTTTAACTTTAAAGAAACAAAATTTCAGAATTCCTCTAAATTGAAGCCCCAAACAGCAAAAATAATAGAAATCTAACAACTATTTTGAAATTTTTAAGCACTTCTTTCGCTTTTAACTCGAATATTTTTCTTATTATTTAAGCAATTTGAGCTTTTTTTTTGTTTCGACAATTTCTCCCGTTTCTCTGCTCGATTTTAAAAGCTTTGATAGCTAAAAGCTTAAGCTTTAACAGCTAAAAGCTTAAGCTTTAACAGCTAAAAGCTTAAGCTTTAACAGCTAAAAGCTTTGATAGCTAAAAGCTTTGATAGCTAAAAGCTTTGATAGCTAAAAGCTTTGATAGCTAAAAGCTTGGCTAGCTAAAAGCTTTGATAGCTAAAAGCTTGGCAGCTAAAAGCTTTGATAGCTAAAAGCTTTGATAGCTAAAAGCTTTGATAGCTAAAAGCTTTGATAGCTAAAAGCTTTGCTAGCGATAGCTTTAAGACTTTTAAAAACCTGCTTGTTTTCACTTAAAAACAGAGAAAAAAAAAATCCTTTTCTCCAACAGAAACCTTTGAAATAAAGCGATTATTAATAAATTCCCACAAAAAAAATGAGGAAATCTTTCGATATTTCATTTCTTTCCAAAAACTTTATCATTACCCTGTAAAATTCTGTAGAATTTACGTGCTTAAGTCAGTTTTTTTGAAGAGTTTTCCCTTTTTTTGAGTCGTTATTACTCTAGTTTTTCGTTTACAAGCTAGAATTTTGTTTAAATAGTTTGTTGTTTAAATAATTTGTTGTTTAAATGATTTTTCATTCAAATCTCTTTCAATGTTCAATCAATAATTCAATTTTCTCTCGAAAATGACGTCATTACGTTTTTCAGGAAAACAAAAAACGCTGAAAGGTTTTTAAGCTTTTTGTTTTCTTGTTTTCAATGTATATATGTCCGTAGCTGATTATGAATTTCAGCCGCTAACAAATCGTTCGTTAGCAACTAGATGGTTAGGAATAATTCGTTAACAGCTAGCTGGTTAAGAACGATTGGTTAACAGCTAGATGGTTAGGAATGGTTTGTTAACAGCTAGCTGATTAAGAATCTTTCGTTAACAGCTAGCTGGTTAAGAACGATTGGTTAACAGCTAGCTGGTTACGAACGATTGGTTAACAGCTAGATGGTTAGGAATGGTTTGTTAACAGCTAGCTGATTAAGAATCATTCGTTAACAACTAGCTGATTAAGAATCATTCGTTAACGACTAGCCGCTAACAAATCATTCCTTAACAGCTAGCTGATTAAGAATCTTTCGTTTTTCTTTTTGTTTTCTTGTTTTCAATTGTATATACATTGAAACATATTATTAAAAACAAGAAAACAAAAAGCTTAAAAAGCTTTCAGCATTTTTGTTTTCCTGAAAAACGTAATGACGTCATTTTCGAGAGTTCGTAATCAGCTAGCCGTTAACGAATGATTTGTTAGCTGCTGAAATTCATAATCAGCTACGACACTCGTTAACGGTTAGCCGATCAGGAATTAGGAAAGGAAAAACGTTATAATTGCTTTATAGGCTTTCAGTTGTTATTATATTTGATTAAAATGAGAATAAGAAAGTATTGGGAAGAGTTTTTGTTCTTTATAAGATCTTTCTTTCTTTCTTTCTTTCTTTCTTTTATTTTCTTATTTTAGATGGCTTCCGCCTCGTCGACAGCGGTGCGGAATGTGGTTGCCGTGGCATTGATTCATCGGTTGCATCAATGGTGTGTCAATCTTTTCTGGATCACTCTCCTTTGCGTGATCGGCTGTGTCGGCGACGAGCAACAAAAGTAAGAGATTTTGACGCATTTATTAGATTAATATAAGATCATTTTGACTAGTAGAATGCCTAGAAATCAACGAAAAAAAAAAAACAATTTTTTTTGATGACAATTTTTTGATAACAATTTTCTACGTTGACATTTTTGCTGTTTTGATGATTCTATCATTTTCTTTAGATGTTCAGCGATTCAATTGAACGCTCAGCGACACCACAAAAGGAAAGCGATGGGAAATGTTGAAAAGAGGCGCTCACGAACGAGAGATATTGCTGAGATCGAGATGAAGGTGAGAGTGTTTTTGAGAAAAAAACGTTTCTTTATAAGAGAAGCTATTTTTGCGTTTGGTTTAAGCCTAGTGCCATCCAGGACGCTCAAAAAGCTAGTTTCTTACGTAAACTTACAATTAAACTCGCCTGTTTCTATACAATCGCCAAAAGCTACCTACCACCTTTCCGCTAATTGTTTCTATAGTATCCGGAAAAGAAACAATAGCCCTAGTGCCCTCCAGAATGCTCAAAAAGCTCATTGTTGAGCTTCTTTATCGTTTAAATAAAGGAATTAGTTCATTGCACAAGTTTGATTGACATGATTGACAACATTTACTTAATAAAGCTTCCATTTGGCTTAGGAAAGTAAAATTCCCCAAAATGGCGCCATTAAAAAGGCAAAATCTCTCCATTGACCGTTCGCTGAAAATTGATAAAGAGGAAAAACCAGAGAAAAACCATTGAATGCCTCCCGAGAATAATAATAAATCTTTTTTGGCGAAAACAAAAAATGATTATCGAATCGATCAATCATCAAAAAATAGGACAAATAGATTTTTAAATGACAGAATGCTAAATGAGAATGCTTTAAAGATATTTTTGAGCGTATTATATAGCAAGAACAAAGCGTTTAGCAACGTTTATAGCAAGAACAAAGCGTTTGACAACGTTTATAGCAAGAACAAAGCGTTTAGCAACGTTTATAGCAAGAACAAAGCGTTTAGAAACGTCTATAGCAAGAACAAAGCGTTTAGCAATGTTTATAGCAAGAACAAAGCGTTTAGCAACGTTTATAGCAAGAACAAAGCGTTTAGCAACTTTTATAGCAACAATAAAGCGTTTAGCAACGTTTATAGCAAGAACAAAGCGTTTAGCAACTTTTATAGCAACAATAAAGCGTTTAGCAACGTTTATAGCAAGAACAAAGCGTTTAGCAACTTTTATAGCAACAATAAAGCGTTTAGCAACGTTTATAGCAAGAACAAAGCGTTTAGCAACTTTTATAGCAACAATAAAGCGTTTAGCAACGTTTATAGCAAGAACAAAGCGTTTGACAACGTTTATAGCAAGAACAAAGCGTTTAGCAACTTTTATAGCAACAATAAAGCGTTTGGCAACGTTTATAGCAAGAACAAAGCGTTTAGAAACGTCTATAGCAAGAACAAAGCGTTTAGCAATGTTTATAGCAAGAACAAAGCGTTTAGCAACGTCTATAGCAAGAACAAAGCGTTTAGCAATGTTTATAGCAACGTTTAGCGATCGGGTAGCTTTTTTCATTGTATAGAATCCAGAATCCAAAAATATGATAAAATTCGATCGATTTACTGTCCCAAGATTTACTTCTGGCTAGTTTAGTCAAAATTCATTCACACAAATCGACTAATTACATCAAATTGCTTAGAGAAGTCAAAGAATGTTCAGAATTGATCATTCTTTGACTGTCATTCTTTGATCTTTGAATTGATCATTCTTTGACTGTCAAAGAATGATCACTGTACCAAAGCTCAAAGAAAAGCTCAAAGGCTAGCTGAAATTCCTAGAAAGCTTTCAAATCAAAACCAAAAAACTAAACCCTAATATTTCAATTGCATCATGAATTTCTCGAATTTCAGCTTCTCCGCCACTTGACAAGCCCACAAAATGTAGCGATGCGACCAGTGCATCAACAGCAGCGTCAATCACGAAAACGGCATACCGGTGTCGCCTCTCGTCCACCCTCTCCGCAACTCTTCGACATTCGCGAAGAGCCAGAAGAGAATTAAGAACATTAAAGCTACTCAAACTTAAAAACAAACGGGATTTCAAATCTCTTTTGATCTTTTCGCTTCTCCTTACCTCTTTCCTTCAATCCTTTTTTTTTTTCATTCGATTAGGTGCCTTTCGTGTGGTTTTTCCGGGGGAAAAAGAAAGTTGAGGATTTTTAATCGAAAAGGATTTAATCGAAAAAATTGAAAGCTGCGATTTCAATTCCAAATCCCAATTCAAAATCCCCCTCAAATTTCCTTCAAAATCCCCCCTTCCTTTCCTCTCCAAAACGAGATTTTTTTTCTCTGTGCATATCGTTTTGAATTCAAGATTTCTGAGATTCGCTCCGCAATTAGGGAATCCTAATTTTCCCCAAAACTCTGTACTATGCCGCCAAAAGCTACAGTCCGCTACAGTACCCCTTTTCCGCTAATTGTTGTGCTATAATGTATCCCAAAAAAAAAAAACAAAAAGCTAAAAGTCATTCTGGTGTTTTCCAGGATGCTTAAAGGATGCTTATTTCTTATGTAAACTAAACTTACAATTGAAATTCCCGAAATCTCCTCTGATTTCCCCGCCCTATGTGCAGGCCACATTCAATCAAATTTCCGTTACGTGTATCTGAGATTTTTCATTTTTCTAAAGGCCTTTCCATTTTTGGTACAACTTTTATGGGTTTCCCGTATTTCTCTTTTAACATTTCCCACATCACACAAAATGTTAGCTTTATCGTTGTAGTGTCCTCCCTAAAAAAAAAAAAAAAAACGATGACTCCTTGTCACATTTGTGATTATTCTCTGTATGTATAAAACGTGTTGTTGTTGTTGTTTTTGTCTTTGTCTTTTCTGACAAGAAATAAATTATTGTGATCATCGCGCCAAGTAACTTTACCCTAAATCACATGAATCATGGAATCATTGGATTCTAAAATTTTAACAACAAAAACAACTCGAAAAAGAGATCAAAATGGGGTAAAACGTGGGAAAAAAAAAACAATTGAAAGAATGAAGAAATCTACAAAAGAGACGAACAACAACAACAACAATAATAAGAAGAAGAGAATAGAATTATGAGCCGGATCCTCAAGTAATGTTTTCTAAAAATCATCTAATCATCTAATTTATTACCGTAACCCTTCGCCAGTTTTCATTCGATCAGCCCAATTTTGGGAAAATTTGATCAATTTGATCAATTTGATGTGAAAATCACAAGATTTAGTTAAAGATACAAAAATTTGGATAATCGAATGAAAATTCGCCAATTAGTCAGCCGACCAGGGTAGTTCGTCTAAACTGGGTGCTTTTTAGAAAATTTTTTTTGAAAAACCAAGAGGTTCGCCCTAATAATAAGTAACAATTGACAATTCAACAAAATACTCAAAATAAGCTTCACTCATTTCGGTATCCTCTTCAACTCGGTGCCTAGCCATAGAACAAACGAAATGAGCGCCATCGAGCCGCTTTGATGCAAAGCAGCCAACCAAACCGGCACATAGTTGAGCTGAAATGGATAGAATTTCTCATTTTTTCGAGCACTCTTTCATCACTGTTTACTGGTTTTTTGGCAAAAAAAAAGAGGAACATTTCCATGATCAGAGTGTCATTCCAAACGCAAAATTTGCAAGGTCACACCAAGTTCATTTTGTGATTTCCCCATAGAAATCCCTTTTAAAGAACCTTATGAACAAGTCAAAAAAAATCAAAAATCTTGCAAATCTGCGAAATTCTACGAAAAAAAAGCATTGCAAAAAGTTCTAAAAATCTTTTTCTTGCAAAATTTCGCAAATTTGTGAGATTTTTTGCATTTTTGATCATACTTTGAGTTTTCCAAAACGTTTCCGACTTTCTTTTCTTTTCTTTTCTCGTTTCTATTCAAGCAACGCTAGAAACCAAAATCAACCAACCAGTGTTGTGATGCCTAGCGCGGCTTGTACGTAAACCATTCCCATCGACGCATTCAACGCCCATCGCGCGCGCTTCGTCAAACCCATCCGCCGACCGCACAACCACGTCAACGTGATCGACACTAGCGTTAGATAGGCCTAAAAAGGAGATGTCGTCAAAAGTTGTGGTGAAAATTTGCACAAAAAACACATAACACTTTCGCCAGCCACCCCACTAGAACACTCGAAAGCATCAAATTTTAGCAAAAGTTTAGCGCTGAATCAACAGAAGAACAAAGAACAAATTTCCGCAAGCAAACTGCAAGCAAAGAAGCTCGCCTCAAAAAAATGAAAAAGGTTCAGCTTTCAAAGTTCGTATGAAATTGAAAAGTTTTTGATGTAAATTCTTGAGAGATTCGTACGTACGCAAATTCGACACCGAATTATCGATACAAACCAAATTGCGATGAATGAATTGCACGGTGACGTCATTCTCGAAGAAATTCTTCCATTTCGGCGCCCGAGCGAGGAGATTCGGCGGAATCCAACTGAAAAAAGAGGAAGAAATGATGAAAAGTCGAAAATCTCAAGAAACTAAGAAATTTGAAAAAAATCGCCAAGTTTAAGCCTTAAATCATTCGATTTCACAGCGAATGCAAAACTTAAATTAGCTCTGAAAGCTAAATGACTAAAAAAAACGCTCACTCGTTCGCGAATTTCGGCCACGAGTTGTAAACGAGTCCCGCGTCAAGTCCGGCCACAAAAGCACCTGAAAACGAAGAAATTTGTTCGCTCATTTCCATTTCCGATTTCAACTTTTGATCAAAAAAGGCTATTCAGGTCTAAAAAAAGGCATTAAAATCGAGTTCTCATCAATTAAGCTCAACTTTTATTAGTAAAATTGGATCAACAAAAAAAACTCACCCATGATCGCCGTGGCAAACATGAAACCCTTCGAGGTATGCGTGAGCGCCTTCAACTTACCGATCCTGGGCACAGAAGTGATCTAAACTGAAATTTTAGAGATTTTCAAAAAAGGCAAAGTTCTAAACCTCAAAAAGCTTAAGCTATTCTCCGAATGGCTATTAAAATCGCAAAAAAATTCACCGTAATCGGTGTCGTCAACACTTGTCGCAGTCCGTTCCACAAAAACAGCGAGTACAAGACGAATGCAAGCGTGAGATGAGTGGCGAGACGATATTGGGAAACCCGGGGAACCGACGTGTCCGAATTGAGTGACGGATCCAACCCCGATTTCACCATCCACCAGCCGACACCGCCCTAGACTTGGGAAAAAAAATGAGTTCCCCAAAAAACAAATCCCGCTCTCACCTGTGCAAGTAGCAAGCCACCACAAGCAAACATTCGAATCTTCATTGCCGTCATCGTGAAGCGACCACGTGACGCGAAATAGGCGGCCGGGATGAAGAAAGCCAGTCCTAGAATAAAACAATTATTGTAACGTTTTAAAATATTGTATTTCTACTAATCTATCATAGAATGACCCTCTCATAGGAGTATCGCGTAGTCTAAAGTATTTTCAAACAATTACAATAGATTAGAGCTCAATGTTTCCGAAAATATTAGATTTAGTTTCAACAAAACAGTAGACAAGATCATTTTACACTAAAACAGAGCTAAGAAACGAGCTGCCAAAGTTAACGACTACGCGGCAATACGAAGTCATTCCAAAGCACTAACCCGATACTGGATCAAGGCTGGTCCATGGGCAGAATTTCTAGGCCATGCCATGCTCTTGGTCTTTGTCTTTGCCTGAGCATGGTATGGCTTGTGATCTAGAGGACCAGCCCTGTACTCGAGCAGTAACTCTTGCATCTCGTAGTCCCCTTTAATTTTCGCTCACCAATCGCTCTGCCCCACATTCGATGCAAGTACTCCATTGTCCAGATGAATTTGAATTGATTCAGCGTCATCTCTTCAGTGGTACTCTTGCTAAAAACTAATGGTTAACAAAACCGTTTTCTAACAAATCACTCACAATTTGTACTCGGGAAACTCTTTGTAGCGCGCGAATTCCGCCTCCCATTCAGTCTAAAAAATGAGAATTTGCTCGTTTCACAAAAATCTCTCCCGTATACTTGATTAAACGGCGGTTTCATCGTCCGGAAAAGATCCCAATTCACCATCGATAAGCCCGATTCGGTTAATCTAAATTCAACAAACAATAAAAATGCTCGTTTCAGCCTCAGCGCTCACCTCGTCACACCGCCCAACGCAACCGCTCCGTAGACCATCCCAGCGCAGCCGAGAAGCCACCAACCAATCTAAAGTTGAATACATGAATATGGATAGTGAGAGTTGCTAGTGTTGCAAAAAAATCTCATTGCTTAATTTTAGTTACAGATCAGATCAGGCAGACGAAAAACCCGGCATTGTTTCCCTTTCTTTTTGTAGGTAAAATCGAAAATTTTTTTTTTACGATAAACAATAGCTTTAGAATAGAAGAATATAATGAAAAATTTTAAAGAATCTTTAAATTGATTTTAAAAAAATTTGTTAATTTATTCAAATTTCGTCAAATTTCGTCAAATTTATTCAAATTTTGCCTAAATCTTTTTCTGAAAGTATTTCAGCAGTAATAATTTTGATAATATCATAATTTTGCGCCTTGCTTCGTGTTTGCCTTTATATATATATATCAAATTGCTTTATATATCAAATTGCTTGCGAATCAAATTTGAAGAACCTATTAGCGATTTATCTAATACGAAAGTTATAGTTTTGATGCTTTGTGCAATGTGCAAAGACGAATCACTCAAAAAAAAAAAAAAAAAAAGAAAAGCCCCATCTTTACCCCTTTATCCTGTGCTTCTTCTTTCGCATTCCTCGTCACAACTCGGGTCGACAAATTGTTGAATCGCGACAAGATGTTCAATTTTCTAAAAGAAAATCAATAAATTCGTAAATTTCATCGTTTAGCAAGTCTGAAAACCAGTTCTTCACCTAGTTTCGATGCAAAAACGTTCGAATTTTTGGAAATTTTGTTTAGAAAATCGAAATTCTCTTTTAAAAGAAGCTTTTTTTTCTAACGTTTTCCAACATTTAGCTTAAGGCCAGATGGCCGACCGGTTAGGAGTCTTGTCTCTTAAGCGGAAGGTCGAGGGTTCAATCACTCTGGCAAGATAAAAATGTTTCTTTTTCCCACCAAGTGGGTTTTTTCTTTCACAACATTTGGGTAATAGGGGTAAATAGGGGTGAGAACGGCCGCAGTGCCATAAAATTGTGTGTTTAACCTTTATGTCTTATTATGTACCCTTTGTTTGTATCACATTATTGGTTTTCAATAAATGTATTTTTAAAGTTTATCGGCTCGTATGAAAATTTTAATAATTTTAATCATTTCAATATCCCAAAAAAAAAAAAAACGTACATTTCACTCAAAATCCCCGAATTCCCGGCCCGAAACGAAATTCGACTTTTCGAGACGATTTGTTGACGAAAGCTCGACACATTGTGGAGACGAAATAAAGCGCATCCGACTCGCCCAATCAACATTCGGCTGAAAATAAATAAACAAAAAAAAAAATGAAATGAAATGGTAAAAATTGGAGATAAACAAAAAAAATGAAATGGTAAATTGGAGATAAACAAAAAAAGGGTTTCCGAATAAAGAAAAGCACTTTTATCGGGGGCATTTTACGAATCATTCCGCGACAAAATCCTTTTAAAAAACACGAATTTTCTGTGTTTGTTGTTTTTTTTGTCTAATTCTGCTCAGAAAATTTCTTTAAACCAAAAACAAAAAACTCTGAAATTGTGTTCAACTTTGCTCAAAAAATTCAGTTCAAAATACACAAAATAGACAAAAAAATCACAGCGTAATCACCAAATTTTTGTCCGCACAAAACTCCTCAAAAATCTTTATTTCGCTTGAAAAAAACATATAGTATGCTAAAAACATAAAAATAAGCTTTAGAAAGCAAATTTTCCGTCGAAATCATAGAAAAATCGATTTCACAGCAACAAGCGTAATATAGGATTTATTTCAAAAAGAACAACAAAAGAAAGAAACCGGTGCTTGACTAAAAAAACAATCACTAATCCACTAAAGTTCTCTAGAAAAACTACAAGATTCAACGGATTTCCCACACAAAACTATTTTGGAAATTTTGTTTTTTTCCATTAAAATTTGGTAAGAAATCATGTCTTCAGAGGGAAAGACCCAAATTTTGTGCGAGAAATCCATTCTAAAGCTTTTTCGGAGCGCAAAAAAAGGCCAACAATTTTGAGCAGATCAGACGAAAAACGGGAAAAATGAGGGAAATGAATGAAAATTTCCGGAAAACGAGGATTTCATCAAAAGAATTCTCAAATCGACGAAAACAACAGGGGGAAATGAGCATCTAAACCGTCTAAGAGAATACCTAGAAAACAACTATGACTATATTTTACACAAAAATCCTGAAAAACAATCTAGAGCTAGGGTGAGAAGGGAAAAAAAAACGAAAAAAAGCGAACAAAATGATCGATTATTGTCGACAATTGCTCTTGCTGTTCCTCATTGTTTTCCCGATGATGATGATGCTGTGGATGTTGGACTTGTTGGCGGAATGTGATGCACATCATGACCGCCACCCATTTGTGGAATGGCGGGTGGAGCGATGAAACCGAAGCGCTCGCTCAGCTCCCACTTCCAGCGCCAATAGGTGACAACCTGAAAATGAAAAGGTCATAAATTTTTAAAAAAAGCTAGGCAGTAGGCGCAGTTAAGTCTATACGTAGAGTGTGTTCACCTCTCAGTCAATCCATTTTCTAAAAGATACCTTTGGCTTTTTAGACAAACCATCGTAACTCATTTGATTTCCATTTGATGAGCCCAATTTTGATCACATTTTGATCAAACCTTGTGATCCCCTCGTCGAATGTGACCAAAATTGGGCTCACCGATAGAAAACTGATAATGGATTACTTTAGTTTACCTAAAATACGCTGTCTTTTAAAGAACGAATTAGCCGGGAGGTGAACGGCCTCTAGTTTCATGCAACTAGGCTAATTGTTGGCAGAAACAAGGTTGACTATCAAATAAACAAGGACTAGTTGATACTAGAAAAGCCATCCTTGTTAACCAGAGCCAAATCTACGAGATTTTGAGCCCGGTAACAGTTTTTCCCATCGGTCATCAACACTGACACCATCTCATCATTCTGGCATTCGATCAAAAACGAACCATTCGATCCCACGCATTTCCGGCTCGATCCATCGCTGGTCGAACGTCCAAATGCGTGAACAGCTTGCTCTTCGGATCAACCGCACCCCCGTCGTAATAGTCGATGATGTAGCGAACCTAAAGGAAAGATAAATTCATGATATCCAGGCCTTTTTTTTCGCTCACCTCAGCCTCTCCACATCGATCAACGATCCAATCGTGACGATCAAACGGCAATTGATAGCTGAAAATTGAAAATAGCAAAAAGAAAAACCTTTCTCAACCCTCACCCAAGCCATCCACGGAAACGTGCCCTAGGCGACAAATTCTGCGCGTCTCCCTTGAAACTCTTCAGCTGCGGATTTCCGCATTCACTAAAAAATCGAGGATTTTCAAACTTGTTTAAATGAAAACTCACGGATGTAAAAGCAATTCCCATTTGAGCACCTCTCGCCAGGCTTCCTCGTTGTTCGCATTGTGAATCCGAATAATATTCTCCATGTCCTTTTGGCTCAGATGATCGTCCTCCCAGCGCCAGCCTTTCCTGAAATGAGAAAATGATTGAGTTATAATTTTTAATCCGTTAGACCATTTTTTTTACAGCTTTTGAGAGGCTTTTAAGGTTGCTGCCCTTTTAAAAAAAGCACTAATTTCAATTGTTCTCAAGTCTTTCACTTAAATTCATTTCAAAACCCACTTCAACATTGCATTCCAGAACATTTGCGGTGATGGGTAGACCCATGTGGCTTCAGTACCTGAAGAACAAATGATTTTTCAAGGATTCTCAGCCTAAATTTTGCCTTTTTAGGCTCAAAAACTTGCAAAATAGCTTTAAATGATTTAATTTTTCAGTAAAATCTCAAAAACGAACCGGCTCGTGGAATGGTTGACTTTTGGCGATCCGTAGACAAGGCAAACGGTTGATCGGGAGCCGGCTTTTGATTGGGATGAGCAAGTTCCTAAAGAAAATGTTATCGCAATGACGAAAGTCCCAAAAATTTCACTCACATTGTTGGCCGGATCGACTCCAGCATGTGGTACAGGACATCCGCCACCAGCTTGCGCACCAGACGACGGGCATTCTGATTGATAGCCGGCGGCCGGTTGGTTCGATTGCACCTGAAAAGATGAAATAATGAAAATTCGGCATAGATACTTACACTAAAAAGGTTCAAAAACACGTATATTTAATTGTGTGTATTTAAAAGACCAATTCACTATAGATTTTTTTACTTTCAAATGATCTACTAACTGTGTTTGGCTCGTTTATTTGAGCTAATTCGATCTACTTTCTACATAATGCTGTAAGAAGTGTGCAATGAGATTTCCAGACAATAAATCACCGTCCACTCCCTTTCACAAATGAAAATCTAACACTTCGAAGCGCTTTATATCGATCTGTTTGCATACAAAGATAATTTTTTTCTATCCTTTGAAACAAAACAAGATGATTTGAATGCAACTTGACCGCGCTAGAAGGCTTTAGAGTTAGATTTTCATTGACAGAAAAAAATGAACAACTGAAAGAGATGGACGTTGGTTAAAGTTATAGACTTAAACCGTAAATTCCAAGTCAAGGCCAATTGAAAACCGCTGGCTTTGGCTTTTTTTGCCAACCATGGCGTAGTGAAACTCAAAATTAAACCTAAAAAAGCTCGCCGCCCCCACCTGAGCGATATTGCGTCGGGCGTTTCGTAGCCGTGTCGCGTACTCTTCCGGGGTCTCACTCGGGCGAATCGGCTCGTCGATTTTTGGTGTTGTTGAGGCGTTTGACTGTCCGGCACCCATTGTTAACTGAAAAAAAAATAAAACGATTATCATAATCGATAAATTTTACCAGAGAACCCAGAGAAAGAAAAAAAAGACTAATTAACGGTTTTCAAAAAAAAAAAAATTATCAAATGACGCAAAATGAAAGTTTTTTCAAATTGCATCATTCTCCAAATGCCAATTTCAAAACTCAAATGAAAATCTTCAATTTCTCAATGCAAATTTCCGCTTTAAAGTTAAAATCCAGTACAAATCGTTCAAAAACAACTCATTTCCACCAAAAATTTTGTTCAAGATCAGCGTTTATTTACACATTTTACAAAGAATTCAAAAATTTCGATAAATTAAGCGCCAAAAAGGGTTATAAGCTCACAGCAAAAAAGGCACAAAGTAAGCAAAAAACGGAGAGGAAATCATTTTTGGGCTATTTTTTTTTGCAAAAACCCGTATCAACTTTTCATCACATACAGAAAAAGGAATGAGATAAATGTAAATTATAGTTAACAACAATGATTGTCTAGATCAATCCCTCCTCGAGATGAACTGCTGCAAGACGTTTCCCATCGCAAAGCGTGACGCCGGGATAGACCACGTTTGCGCGGAGCCGCCAGTGACCCGAGCAACGTCCATCAGTCTGAAAGAAAGCATGTAATGACGGACATTTTCAGGGTTTTTCCTAGACCACACAAGCCAAAACAAACTCGGGTTCCCGTCTCGTCTTTTGTTTTTTGCCTACTTAACTTAATGACCCATAACCCAAGCCATGGTCTATGCCAAGACTTCTGTGAAAGTAACGTCTATTGTGCCAAAATCCTAAGCATCATTGTGATTTTGACCTCGCTCAAACGATCAATTAGCAGACACGGTGCAATGGTTATCTTATGCAAACGGTCAATAAAATGGCCGCCTTTCTCAGCACCAAGAATACTTAGAGTACTTAACAGCCATCGCTGAACATTTTGAGTGCACCGGGCTTGGCGAGATTTCCGAGTGCTTTCAACGTTAGGCACTTTTCGATTTTAGAACATCCTAGTACCATTTCACCACAAATGTTTCACCTCTGAATGGTCGAGTCACGCGGATGAAATTGCACGTGTGACATCACCTCTTCGGCCAACGCTCTAAAGCTCAATAAATTATAAATCAACATCGAAAAACCCCACTTTGCCTCACTCCTTCCCACATCCTCTCGGCTCGCCAACAAAGCCGTTAAAAACTAAAGTAAAACATAAACAATGAACCATCAACAGCCCACCTCGGCGCCACAATCGGGGAATTTTCGGGCAAAAGTGGTGGCCTCAAGCGAGAGAAGAGATTTGTCACGAAGAGAGATCACGGAAGAGATTTGCAAGAGAACCCGAGTGATTGACGGGATCTGAAGAAAGAAATGGACATGAATCAGCTGCCAATTTACAAAATTCATAGTTTTAGGTTCATTGGTTGTACAAAAGGTGATTTTTTTTTGTGCCTTGGATCGCCAGTAGCTAGACATGGACCTGGCTTAGCTCACAGGCTTTGGCTTGACCTGGCTTACAGACTCTAGGCTTGTCAGCATCTGCTCCGGTCCGATCCAGGCCAGTCCAACCAAGGTTTCAACCTGGCTTACAGCTAGTTTACAGCCCAGTCTGAACTGGGTTGACTGGATTGGCTTAACGGGCTTAACCTTTGTCTAATACCAGTCTGATAAACTACATTTTTCCACCAGTACTTAAGCACTTGGGCCTGCATTTCACTAACCCGATGTACTTGGATCTTATTCAGAGCAATCAACACCTATTCCCCACCTGATTCCCATCCTCATTCCCGACTTCGCTGCCATCTCCGAAATCCATTTCATCGAAAACTCGTTGAATTTTCTTCGCGTCCGTCAACAAACGTTTCCCGGCGGAGTCCCGTTCATCAAAATTCGAGAAATTGAGGCGTCTAAACGAGGGTTTTTACAAAAAAAACTAGCAAACAAACTTCGTCTCCACAGCTTTCAAATACTCGGCCACCACTTTGTACTGCAATTCGGACATCAACGCCAACAAGATGAATGGTCGCAAGTGTCTAAAGAATTCGACATTTTCTTCAACTTCTCCAACTTACCGATGATCTCCATAATAATCGTGGATCGTCATGCAAATTGTCTCAATTGCGGCCGTCGATTGGAGCCTAAAATAACGAGGGGTTTTTTTTTGACAATTGCAAAGCATTTCTAAAGTACCAATATTTTAAAGTGGTTTGAAATCTTTAATACTCACTAACTATTAGTCCTTTTCACCGTAAGTCAACCATTTCACTCACCAAATCTTCGAGAACAACTCGGCCAACGATTTGCTAATATCCGCCATTACCTCTTCGAGTAGACAATTGACACTGAAAAGAGCAAACGTTTAATAATTGCGTTAACTTAAAAAAATTTATACAACATCGGTACGATTTTAGTCTCATTCAATGCCGGAGAACATTTCTTATCAAATGACGTCAAACTCAAAATCAAAATTTATATGAAAACCTATGGGAAAAATTACATTCCACACGTCTTGAAAGCTAATATCCAGGTAGATTTCTTTAAAAGTACAGGCACTCTTTGCTATTCTTTGCTTTTAGCGAATAGCATGAATGTTGGCCATAAAGCCTGTAAGCCAGGACAAGCCAGAATCAGACCTAAGGCAGGCTAGGCTAGGGTTGTTCCATCCGGACTCTGGAGCCTGTAAGCCAGGCCAGGGTCCAGGTCCAGGACTGCCTTCTGTCAGGCACAGGGACTTTTTGTGAGCCTGCAGTCAAGTATTAGGGGTAGTCGGTGGCTAGCAGCAACAGGCTAGCAGGATCCTAAGGTTTGTGAGCGGGGCCAAGGCCAAGGCAGGTACAAGGACTTTTGTGGGTCTGCAGGGAGTAGTCTAACCGGTTCCAACCAGACATTATGACCTGCAAGCCAGGCCAGATCAAGGTTCAGGCTCACCTCCTCAAAATCCCGTCATTCCATTTCCCATTCAACTTGTCGATATTAATGAGCACTTCTTTCCGAGTCGATCTTCCGCTCATCACACCACTCGCCGATTCAACATCACCTAAAAAGATCAAGCTTTGACACACTAACCATTTCAACTCTAACTCACCATCCAATAAACGAATGTGTTTCATGTACTTGTCGGTGTTCTCGATGCATGTTTGGAGATTGTTCGCAATCGCTATCTAAACGAAACGATTGGCATATTCAAATTGGTGGTCAAATTGAAATACAGACTAGCAATTAGCTTCAGTAGCTGTGGATTAGCATATAACATTTGAAAATCAGATTTGAATGAATCTCAGCCTAGATAGTACAATCTTACCAGGGGTATGAGGGCTTTTCTAGTCGGATCCTAAAGCCTGAGGTCGACTGCCAGATCAGTAGAGCCCGATACAGAGCTGACTTCTGATGGACCCAGGGGCTCTGAAGTCTGTAGCCAAACCTGGGGTCAAGTAGAGCCCGATCAGAAGCCAGGTCCAGGTCTGGCTTCTAACTGCCCCAGGCCAGGCCAGAGTCTGACCGGGAGACAGGCCCAGGCTTGGCTTCGGGCAGAGCAGATCCAGGGTAGCTTGTGGGTTCAGCTATTCTGTCTAAGTCTGTAAGCTAGTCCAAGTAGAGTCCGGTGAGAAGCCAGGCTTAAAGTCTGAGTCCTGGCGGGCCCAGAGCTTACCAAAAGCCATGAACTGGCTTCTGCCCTAACTTTAAGCCTAGACCACCAAAGTGGTGTATCTAAAAAGCGCAAGCGCTCACCATTGTTGACGTGTATTCGCGGAAACGATTTCGATCCTCAAAGTGTTTTCCCTTGTAGGCGAGAGCCGCATCTAAACAAAAAAAAACGATACAAAGCTGTCATTAGATTTAAAAATTATCCACGAGTGAATCTTTGGCACGTCCATGAAAGCCTATTAGTGATTTAGCAAAAAAAAGCTCACCGCGATAATGATCAGAAAAACCAATGAACTCCTCGATGTTGACATGAATGACCGACGGGATCAAATCCGTCGAGATCTCCTTGCAGATGCTCACCTAAAAAGGGAAAATTGGTAAATAAACGATTCCTTACAATGGCTCAGCGGCAAAATTCCATAAAGCATTCTAATAGAATGCATGCCCAAAAAGAAGCATTGCCTAGCCTACTTTTGTCGTTTCCTCTTCCTGGTCCTGATTTTGTTAGGGTTTTTGCAAAAATGACTCAAACCCGAACAAGGACCTGTTTACGGAGTTGAAAAATTGATTAACTTTCGTTGACTACGCAACGCTACTCTGGGCCCGTCATTCTATTAGAGGATTTAATAGAAGCGCTAATGCCAAACTCACATTATCCTCGATCATCCCGAAAAGAATCGACGGTAGTTGCGTGTAGAAATACCCATTCGAGTCCTCTTCAGGTCGAATGTGTTTGTACCAATCCTGAGAAGGGAAGAAAAATTGATTTAACTCGTAGAAAACTAAGCAAAACTCTCTTTACACGCTTTCAATGCACCGGTTAAACGGAAAGAATCCATTTTAAAAGTTCAACAGCTTTGGGTGCATCAAAAGCGTACCAATTAGGTCGAATTCGTGTCATTTAAACCACGAATTCTAAAAGAATCTTAATTTGAGCAATCTTTTTTTTGTCATTTTTGTCATTATTCTCAAATCATTCCCCAAAAACCCACCTCTTTTTCCCGATCCACCGTTTTCCTCAGCCAATCCTTGATATCCTTGCGGGTCATCTCGATGAATCTAGAAAAAAAAAATCGCGTTAACCCCGGCTTTATAGTAACCGCAAAGCGTCTACCGACCATACTAGCGCCTTTTGTTCAATTAGCATAAAAAAAACACTCGAGTTCATCAACGTTTATATGCAATTCTCCTGACTATCAGATTTACTCAAAGTTGTCACTCATAAAAGTACAAGTTATCCAGTGGATCAAATGATCGGATCCTGCAAAACTCACTGATCGTGCAACTCTTTCAGTGTCGTTTTTGGCAACAATGGGATATCCGAGAGAATCGCCGCCACATTGAGCTTGAAACGAGGGTTCCCAAGCATGTCTTCGCCACTAAAAAGAGTGATAAGTGAGCAAAAATAGTAAAATTTCATTAAAAAAAAAATTAAAAACCTCCGATAAATTACCTATTGCAAAAGAAAGAAAACTCGAAAATTTTCTCATTTGTCAAAGTCAAATGTTTTTAACTAAGATATTCTTTAAAAACCTACAGCTGTGAGACATTTTAAAACCGAAAAAACCCACGAATATTTGCCAATCCACGACAAAAGTTGTACCAGTTCATTCTTCAGCAACTCTTCGTTGGCCAACTCGCGTAAGCGGCGGGAGACAGCTCGATGGTACATATCTGTAGACAAAACAGAACTTTTTATTATCCAAAAAGAAAACTCACTAACAAAACGATCGAAAATCTGGTATTCGGGTGGGAAACACGGTTGCGCTGCGTTTTTCGCCGTCAACAAATCGTCGCGCACGACCACACGAATCACCTCGAGGTAACTGAAAAGAAAGATTTGCGACATTAGCAAAAGGGGCTTGATTCCTGAGCCGATTCATTTACCCAAGTCATAGAGCCTCTAAACAATTTACCGTGCCAGCCAGCTTTTGTTTCTATCTCGATCCTCAATTTGCATTCCCTCCACGCGGCTCCACACTGTCTTCTCGAGTACCTAGAATTAACCGTTCATTCACTTTTCAACTAATCATAATCCATTACTCCTTCGCCATCTAAAACCTCATTTTTACCTTACCCAAGGACCCGGACGTGGCCAAGACTGGGCTTGATTTCTGGCCTTACCTGGCTAAGTCTGGACCTGACCTTTGGTCTGAACTGGACTAGAACTGGACCTGAATTCAGGTCTGACTCGGCCTGGCTTACAGGCCTGACAGGCTTGGACTCAATTAGAAAATCCGGAAATTTCCTTTAGCCGTACCCGGTTTAGTTTCCCAAGCCGTCAGTTATTTTCCTCCTCAAAAGCTTCACCTTGAAAGTCTCTTTCCTCCATTGTCTCGGCCGTCCCGGCGGCATGAACGGATTGTTGTTGCCAGCATTTTGCTGTCTTTCCACATAGTATCGATCGATTCTCTCTTCCCTTTCCACAATTCGCAAACATGTCACCAATTCTTGCGGCCCATTCCCAATCTCGTTTCCCTTGACCATCTCCAGCGCTCGTCCAATCACGAACCACATGTTCTCGGTGAGCATCTTCACCAATTTGTCGACCTCGCCAAAAAATTTGATGAGCAACTGCAAAGAGAAATTGTTAAAAGTGAGAATCTTTGAATTTTTGCTAAACGAGCTGAAAAAGGGGTCCATTTTTAGCCCCCAGATCGACCACGGTCAATGAAAAAACTTTTTGCAAAACCTAGACGCTAGACGTTTTCTAGAACTCAATTTTACCAATCAGCCAGTGATAATAGCAGTTTTGGCTCTCGTTTTCCCCAAATTCACCTGTTTATCGAGCTCGCTGCCACCCAATTTGTGCAGTTCGAAGAGCAACTCGTCGCGGGCCAACTCGAGATCCATTATACTGAAAAGGATAAGATCATTTTGAGATCACAAACACCTTGAGATTTGCTTTCTAATAGTTTCCATTATTTTTTGTTTCTACTATTTTTCCACTAGTTTCCACTATTTTTTTTGCGACCTAATTACCTTATACAAAAGGCTTAACGGCTTAAAAATGAGCATAGAATAGGGAAACAAGCTTTCCACTTCCAAAAATTGCAAAAAGAATGGTAAAATTTTAGAAGAATCTCTAGCCCTTTAAAAATTCGCTCACTTTTTGTGCGCCACGAGGAGTTTATTGTTCGAGATCGCCTTCTCCACCGCGCGCACCGTCTCGTTGAAGTTGTAGATGTGCTAAAAAGGGGATTATTTTTTAAAAAACAAAACACATCAACCATTTCACCTTCATATTCTCCATTGCAGCTGCGTATTGTCCGTGCAAAATGTTCGCGTCTCGTAATGCGCTCATTCGAGCCTAAAAAAAAGTGATCAATTTTACGCAGCACTGGTTTTGAATTAAATTAAAATCTAAGCTTCATATCAACTTTAAAAGCCATTTTTACAAGCTAAACCAGGCCTATAAACTGTATGGCCGGGAATTGAGTGTCCCTGTTTCAGGGTTTGTCGTATCAAATAGTGTTTGATAGTATTTACCTAACTTTCTAATAAGCTATAGAGCTTATTTCAAAAATGTTTTGTTTTAGGATCACAACCATACAGTTTACAGGTCAACAAACGTTTAGGCATACTGGTTGGTTGGGACCACACAAGGTTGAAATTAAGGCAAAAACGATTGAACTTTGAAATATGATCCCAAAAATAAAGACGATTATTTTAAATCCATACAACCACACACCTTTAACGCGGGAAACGGTCCAAGTCGATCGCGAATTGTGGAGAGTCTAAAAAAGTTGATTCATTCGAATTTCCACTTAAATCTAAAGGCAAATAAGTCTCAAAGTCTCAAATAAGTCCTTGTTTTTACACTATTCCTATAGAAAAAGCGTCCTGAACATAGGGAAAAAATAAAGTTTCGCGTTTCCAAGCTAATTTTATGACAAAAGCTTTCGTGACGCAAATTTTTGTGTTTTCACGTACCCAGGACGCTCTTTTGTACATAAATAATGCAAAAAAAAACAAAAAATATTTTTGTACTCATTCAATAATGTAAACTTTGCACATACTCCTTTTCGATCGTTAAAATGTCATCGTGTGCCGTGTGCAATTGTTGAATTGCCGTCCGTACGCCCTCCAATTGACTGTGGACCCCAGTGCGAAGCATCGCTTCGACGGCTGTCTGAAAAAAAAAAGAAAATACTGATTGTTCTTATATAAAAACCTAGTTATTCTTATTTTTGTTTAAAATGGTGACATGAGTGACGAGAAATGAAAGAGAAACGAAAAACGAGAAAAGATAAATGAAAAGAATTTTCTAGCAATAGCTCGATAGCTCTTTAACCCTTGTAGCACACTCTCATAGCTCATCAATTTGTATATAAATTCCAAATGTTCAACATCTAAATTTCCTCTTTTACCAAATTTAAAGCTATTTCTCGTTAAGTTTAACGTGAAATTTCTCGTCTATCGTTTATCGTTAAGCTTGACAAGATCTCGTCTCGTTAATTCTTGTTAAGAACCTTAACGAGATCTCGAATAACATGTTTATTATGTCATAATTTAAGATCTACATTAACCTTTAAATAATTCGAATTCGATATTCAAAATAATTCGGGTGCTTTACGGTTAACCTCCGTTAACCGGTCGAACGATTATCGAGGAGGGTGGCGGGCGAGTTTTTGGTCAACTTGCAGCTTATTTTTAAGCACCTTAAACTTGTCAGATCAGGAAGTTTTAATAAGATAGCTTAAAATGTCAACTTTGAAACTTAAAATGCCAAACGATTTGTTTCATCAAAAGTTATGGTGCTTTGGTGGTTGAAAGGGGCCACTTTTGGCTTGGCTTTGTCAAATCTAGTGTTTTGAGCGGTTCGTGTCGATATTTTTCTTCTATTCCGCGATAGTTATATATGTTGAAGCGATTGGTGCTAATTTTAGAGTGTTTTCAACATTTTTCAAGTTAGTATTGCAGTTTTCCAAGTGTAATCAGCTTTAAGATAATCTTTAAGATTTAAGATTCAGTGATTAAAGTACAGCAGGCTAGAACATAGGGCAAATCATCAAATAGGATTATCAAAAACGTGCTTAAACTAGCACCAATCGCTTTAGCAGATATCTCTTTCTTGAGAATAGAAAAAAAAGTATCGATACGAATCGCTCAAAACACTAGATTAAGTAGACAAAGCAGTAGCACTAGACAAAACACTAGAAGCAAGACAAAAGTGGCTCCTCCCAACCATCAAAGTACTAAAGTTATTAACAAAAACGAGAAAGAAAGGCTAGGAAAGGAAACAAATTAACAAATCAACGACCATTAAAGTCGTACCTTTAAAAATCAATTCTACGAAGGAAAAAATCTATCCTACAATAACAATTTTCGCTAAAAAGTTGAGTAAAACGTTTCGTGCATTTTTTAAAGTAAACAAAAATCGGGGGTGGGACAAATGCGACTTTTTTTTGCGCACCTGGACATTTGCGCACCTTTTTTTTTTGCTGGAAAAGGCCTTAGGAAAGGCCGTAGAGCTTCAAAAATATTCCCATCTAAGGGAATCGTATGCGTAGATTCCGAATTTCGACAAATCAGACCTCGCTGACACGTCAAATTTGAGCTAAAAGGCAAAAACTACGCAACTTAACGCTTTTCCGCAGTTTTTGCCCTTTAGCCCAAATTTGACGTGTCAGCGAGGTCTGATTTGTCAAAATTCTGAATCTACGCATACGATTCCCTTATACGGAAACATTTTTGAAGCTCTACGACTTTTCCTAAGGCCTTTTCCAGCAAAAAAAGGTGCGCAAATGTCCAGGTGCGCAAAAAAAAGGTCGTATTTGTCCCACCCCCCAAAAGTCAATCTAAAGTCACAATTTCTTGAGATTCAACTAATTCTCAAGAATTTCTTTAGTAAAAAGACTAAAAGACCTTTTTCCGGTCGGCTCTTTTCTTCAATTCGGGCAATTTCTCGAGTTGATCGGCTCGTTGAAACATTTCGGCCACCTAAACCCGAAAAAAATGTTTGCTTTTTTTTGCATAAAACTCAATTTTTAAACCCTCCCTAACAATTTCAATGAGAAAAATCATAGAAATCTTTAAAATCTCACGTTTCCAACAGCTTTTCCTATAAAAAAACGGTTTTTCAACAGAAAAATGCCATTTTTAAAACTTCTAACAAACTTTTCGATTCAAATGATTAAGTCGATTAAACTTTTAGCGCCTAAAAGTTGATTCAAATGATTTTCCGTTAAAAAAAGTGAAATTTCTAAAGGAATAGTATGAGTTTCGCTTAAAAACAAGTAGATTTCGTGAAAAACAAGCGCACTAGACCTGCTTAACGAGTCCGGGCAAAATTTTCAGACAGTCTACCTGGCTCTTTGATTTTTTTTGACTGCCCAAAGCTCTTTCGAGCATGAAACCCTGTTCCCCCGCAAGCCCTTATTTTAGGCTTCATTTTGATACTAAACATAGCTAGATTCTTTTCTATCATTCTTTAGATTTCGATCATTTTAGATAAAAATCATTTTCTCGACTCGGTAAGCTTATCGAGTCCGGCGAAAGATCGATCGAAATCTAAAGAATGATAGAACAGAATCTAGCCATGTTTAGTATCAAAATGAAGCCTAAAACAAGGGCTTGCGGGGGAACAGGGTTTCATGCTCGAAAGAGCTTTGGGCAGTCAAAAAAATCGAAGAGCAAGATAGACTGTCTGAAAATTTTGCCCGGACTCGTTAAGCAGATCTACAGCAAACTCTTGCACGCACCTGTTTCAAAGCGGCCTGAAACGCTTCCCCATCGTCGCTCATCACCGAGAAAAACCCTGAAAATCAAAAAAATTAACAACATCTCGAAAAGTCGAAAAAATCAGCAAAAAAACCAAAGATTTCTGGCTGGAAAATCCGTAAAAACAATGATTTTTCAAAAAAATTTCTTGCTTTCAAAGGTTTACTCGTAGTTTTTTTTCATGTAAAAGCACCATAAATCACATTTTTTGATGGGGGAAAACATAAAGAAATGAGTAAAACGGGGAAATTTAACGAAATGCGAAAAAATGAGGCGGCGAATACAAGAAATACATAAATGAATCAAATTTGGAAACAAAATTTTAGAAGATTTTCCGGGTAACCCTAATTTATTCGTCATTTTATTCGTCACAACTCGCTATAATTTTCTTCTAAATGATTTTGATCTTTATGATTTTGATTTCATCTTCTAGAGCTCAATAAATGCAACAAAATCACACCAAAAAGGGGAGTGGGACAATTGCTACCTTTTTTTTTCCGCACCTTTCCCATTAGCGCACCTTTTTTTCCGCACCTTTCCCATTAGCGCACCTTTTTTCGCGTTTTAAAAAAAGGGTACTTTTCCAATATCGGGGGAGCGGTCCGATTATCGGGGGAGCGAAAGGAAAATCGGGGGAGCAAATTTTGCCCCCTCGAAAAATGCATTTCCGGGACTGTATTTTAACGGCAACGTTTTTTTTAAAACTTTAACGACGATGCGCTTCTCCGATATTTGTGCGTCAAGAAATCGACCGGCAATCGATTATTTCGTCACCAAAGGAGTCATCCAGTCGTGGATTTGCAACTGTGGCGAATCGATGAAAGTCCGCTCAAAGGGAAAAGATCTATTTCGCTGGGTATGTGACACTTGCGCACGGCGAAAGGTCCCCAAGCATTCAAGAGGAATTCGAGTCGATAACTTTTTGCAACAAAGCAAGCTCCCGTTCGTCACAATTTTAAATAGGACACATGTAGCGCTGCCAAAATTTGCTCCCCCGATTTTCCTTTCGCTCCCCCGATATTGGAAAAGAACCAAAAAAAGCTCTAAAAAGGTAATATTAACCAATTTCTATTCCAAAAGTTCTAGGTAATTTTTTCTAGGTAATTTTAGGGCGTAGAATCGAAATTTTGACATATCAGAGCTTGTGGAATCAATTTGAAAGACAAAACGGCTAGGTCAAATTACAGAAAATTGTTGATTAAAGATTTTTCTCTTTGTATAACTCCGTCCGTTCGCTTCCACACGCTCTGATATGTCAAAATTTCGATTCTACGCCCTAAAATTATCTCAAAAAACAACTTTTGGAATAGAAATTGGTTAATATTAGCTTTTTAGAGCTTTTTAGAGCAAAACGCGAAAAAGGTGCGCTAATGGGCAAGGTGCGCAAAAAAAGGTGCGCAAATGTCCGGGTGCGCAAAAAAAAGGTCGCATTTGTCCCACTCCCCCAAAAAGCATAAAGATTAGCGAAGAAAGTCATGATGAATTGCGCAAATAAAATTGCAAAAGCCTATCCCAAAATTTGCAAAAAAAATTCTCGAAAACCCAATTTTTCTCTTTTAGAAATTCTAAATTGCATTCCAAATTGAAACTTTTTTTTTTTTGGCACTTTAAATTTCGAAATTGTGTCGCGAAAAAAGGATCTATAAAATGTTTGAGGTTAAAGCTCGACTTTTTCGCGAAATTCCGCGCCAGCACCCACGAATTGTCGACCCTCAAGGGTTACTTCGTAAACCTAAAAAGTTTTTGCAAATTTTTTTTGTCTTTCTCTTTCTCTTTGTTTTTTTGGGAACATCACGGTTGCGCCGCGAAAATCAAAAAATGAAAATTGAGCATAATGAAATTTGCGTCGAGCGAATTTTACTCCAAAAGACCAGAAGCGAAAACTGCGCCACGAAAATTGCGCTCCCGAATTTTGCGCTCCAAAATTTGCGCTGCCGAATTTTTCGCCCCGAAATTTGCGCCGCAAGACCAGAGGCGAAAATTGGTCTTTCGGCGCAATTTCGGTTTTTGGCTTCCAGCGCAATCTTCATGGCGCAATCTTTACGGGCAATCTTCACAGCTCAATCTTCACAGCTCAATCTTCACAGCTCAAAATTCGCGTGCGCAAATTTTTTATCCTCAATTTTCGTTGTTGACTTGCGGCGCAATGTTCGCGGCGCAATCGTCATAGTCCCGTTTTATTTTCTCTCACCTGTTTTTGCTCTAAAAGAAAAGCTTTCGCGTCGAAGGCTTGCGCGCCGTCTTTGAACATGAAAATCGCACGATTTGCGTCAACGACGAACACCTGCAAAAAAATAAGCACTTTTTTTTTTGCAACAATCGTAAACAGAGAGTCTATTTTGGCATTTATTGTGGGCGTAGGGGCACTAGTTTGTTACCATAATACCTCTAATAATAGCGCCCCCTCATTATGACGGAGTATAGCCGTGTAGTCTAACTTTACACACTCCGTACTCCGCGCTGCTTTATGCTACAGTGTGCGCTTCGGTGTCAAATGATAGTTCTTGAAATCTAGTATTTTTTTGTATCAAAAGTGTAGTTGAGAAAAATATAGGGACTGAGAAAAAAAATGATTTAGACTACGCAACTGTACGGGGTACTATTAGAGGTATTACGGTAGATAGAGTCTAGGCTTAAAAGCCAAGGCTTTGGTCTGGCCTGGCCTAGGCTGGCCTAGGAACAGCTTGGCTCTAGGTGCCCCTACCACGAGTACGGCCGTCGACCAAGTACAACCGTCGACCTTCAGCTAAATAACTTTTGACTGAGTACTCAGAATTTTTTCTTCTTTAACATTTTTTCTTAACTGGAATGCACCCTAAAATCTTTGAGAATTAGATTTTTGATTTACTACAACTGCAGTTTACTGTAGTGGCATCCGCTCACCTGTGCCTCAATGTGATTATTGTAGAGACTCGTCTGCCACAGGGATGTCCATTTGTCGGTGAATGGGCGAATGTCCTAAGTCGTTTCTTTGCAACAGATTTGAAACCAATCCCCAACCGTTTCTCGTGGCTTCTCCGGGTCGATCACTCCAACAAACATCATCAACGTTTCCCCCTTTTTCGACATCTTCATCAACTTTTCTGGATCACCACCCGACTAAATCTATTCTTTTCTATGGCTAGTGTGCGCTCCAGATTCGCCAAAAATTAACCCCATTTTCTTTCGCTATCATTTTAAGTAAAGAAAAATGTGAGGGACGAATTTCAAGCATCATGAACGTTCATGGTCATGAACATGAGCATGAACGATTGGCCCTTCCCCAAGGAAGGGCCAATCGTAGCGTTTAATCGTGACCAATTCCAAGTAAGGAATTTTTTTCTTGTTAATAACTCTTATTTTGTTTTTATTTGATGCTTTGTATATGGGAAAATAGCAGAAAAAGATGAGGTTATTCTGTCTACATTAGCTGGATTACGGTATTTGGTCTGGATTCGATATTCAGTCAAGATTAGAGTATTCAGTCTAGATTGTCTGGATTACGGTATTCAATCTGGAATAGGATATTCAGTCTAGTATAGCTAGATTACGGTATTTAGTCCAGATTACGGTCTTCCCTCTAGACTAGAGTAATCCGTCTAGATTAGAGTATTCAGTCTACACTGTCTGGATTCGGCATTTAATCAAGACCGGGGTATTCACTCTAAAATAACTGGATTACGGTATCCAGTCTACTCAAGTAATTACTTACTCGCGACGCGCTATCGTCAACCAAAATAGGAAACTATCGTCGCCGGCCATTTCCCCCCTAAACAATACCCTTTTTTTGCCTCCCAGGATCACCGTTTTCACCTTTTCTTTCATCGTCGCCAAATCTAATTTCGGCTTTTTCCTCAAGTGTTCCGCTTTCTCGTCATTGTCCAATTTTTCGTCATCATTATCCTCCCATTCATCATATAATCTAGATTCTAGTTTTTCTAGATTCTCTAGATTCTCTAGATTCTCTAGATTTTCTAGATTTTCTAGATTTTCTTAAAAAAAGATACCATAAAATGGTTTAAATCCGAAAAGATTTTTGGAAATTTAGGGAAATTTAGGGAAATCTAAATGAAATCTAAATGAAATCTAAATGAAATCTAAATGAAATCTAAATAAAATCTAAATGAAATCTAAATGAAATCTAAATGAAATCTAAATGAAATCTAAATGAAATCTAAATGAAATCTAAATAAAATCTAAATGAAATCTAAATGAAATCTAAATGAAATCTAAATGAAATCTAAATGAAATCTAAATAAAATCTAAATGAAATCTAAATGAAATCTAAATGAAATCTAAATAAAATCTAAATGAAATCTAAATGAAATCTAAATGAAATCTAAATGAAATCTAAATGAAATCTAAATGAAATCTAAATGAAATCTAAATAAAAATCGATTCTAAATGAAATCTAAAGTAATTTAAGTTAAAGAAAATTGAAATTTTAGTTAAATTATTAAGCAAAAAGCGCAAAATTGTTGAATAGCTAAGTTTCGGATTTCAAATTCTCTTTTGTAAAAGAAAAATTTCAAGCTGGAATGCAAGGATGCCATAGAATGGCCGTAGCAGATTTTGATGCAAATGCAGATGCATATTTTGATGCCGTTAAAATGCAAACGCCTATCAGACACGCGGAATCCGATATTCAGTTTTTGTCCATATTCAAAAGCAAACACAAGAAAAACGTGTTTTAGTATCTACTCGGGAAATCGGATCGCGGTCTTATAAAGGCTCTTTTCCGACCCCCAAGACAAGGCCAGATGGCGAAGTGGTAAAGTGCGCGCGTAACCGGTCTTCTTTCTGCTTTTTGGGCACAGGTTCGGATCCACTCCCGGAAAAAGCTTTTGCTTTCTTTTGAAAAATTAGCGAAAGTAATTTTATCGTTTCTAAAGTGTTTACTAGCGTTAATTAATACGTTAATTAATGCCTTACAAGCGGGTACACACGCATTTCACCATTATGCCATTTGGCCACATTTCGGCCACGGAAAAGAGGCTTTAGAAGCCCGCAGCAAAAATTTGGACACGTTTTTTCTCGCGTGCTTTTGAATATGAGCAAAAACTGGGCACAGCATCGGATTCCCCGTGTTCGATAGGCGTTAAAATATGCTACAGCCATTTTATAGCATCTCCTTTGTTCGAGTTTCTGTGAAGAATTTGTCTTTAACAATTAAAACCTTTCCAAATCGGCTTCGGTGTAATCGTGAAGACTTTTCTTCGTTGCTTTCTCGGTTAAAGAAAAATTCAGAAATGCAATAAAAAGAAATATTAGAAATTTCATTCAATAAAAAGGGTTTAAAAAGAAAAAGTCGGCAAATGAGGAAAGGCACACAAAAGAAAAGAGAACGAGAAATGGGCACACGGAGTGAGAGTCATTTGGTGTCACGTGTAGTCGTGCACTGTAAATAAGTTTGTTTTTGTTTAAAAAAATGCTTTGATTAGCTAGAATTGTTGTGTGATATCCAGAATGAAAGAAAAGGACATTGAAATCGATTCCCTCTTCATAGCCAACCGATTTTCGATTGGGTAAATGAACCGGGGAAAAGGGTTCAACTGAATCCGATCAAAAAGTGTTTTAAGAAGTTAGACATGTAGTGTGATATCCAAAATGACCAAAAAAAATGCAAAAATCTTACAGTTTCCTATTTAGATGGGTTTCTTGATTGAGTAAATGAATCGACTAGAGGTCCGACTAATTACTATCGACAACTAGATGTTTTAAGATGCTAGTTTTGCAGTGTGCTATCCAGAATGACAAAAAATATTAAAGAAACGAGATCAATCTAAATGAGAGGGTTTTTATTTCACTAAAATGTTTGCACAATTACGTTTACGCACAATTTTTCGTAATCAGCTAGCTTTTTTTGGATTGAACGCTGCTTGCTGCTGCTTAGCATGCTTAGCATTAAAAGCGAGATCTTGAAACCCTTATTCGTCCATTTAGCTTATTTTTTTTTTTTTTTTATTTATCGTTGAGTAAAATACACTGGTGGTCATATGTATTAGTATTCTATGTATACATATGTATTAGTACATATGTATACATAGAATACTAATACATATGACATATTTATTAGTACATATGTATTAGTATTCTCTTGCCAAAAAAATTTTCTCTCAACGATTGCCGCCCTTAAAAAAAAAAGCCAAATTCAAAGTGTTAAAAAGCATTTTTTTTTTTTTTTTGCTAACAAACCACTAAAAAAAAATTGCTTCAAAATGTTGATTTTCTTTTTAAAAAATAGCAAGAACGGAAAAGAAACCTGAAAAATGACAAAAGTTGTCATGACGATCTCGTGATAGAGATCGCCACGTAATGGCCAGCTGGCCAGCTAGACATGGCCAGCTAGACAGCTAGACAGGGCCAGCTGGAGCTAGACAGCCCAGCTGGCCGCGGCTGGCCAGCGATGGCCAGCGGCCAGCTAGACAGCTAGCATGCCGGCCACTGACATGGCCAGCTGGCACAGACATGGCCAGCTAGACACCTATGTGGACGAACGCCTATTGTCCGAGATTGTCGCTATCCGTTCAACTCCATTGTGTGGAAAGGACGAGAGCGATGCCCGAGTTCCGTATAAAAGCAATGTGAACGAGCTGCCGATGTGTGCCGTGGAGTGCCTCTACTCTCCCAATCAAATCACTGAACCAACCATTATCGCTGGAATAAAGATTATATCTAAACCAACCAATAATCCCTACAAAAGTATTGCATAGGGCTTGCCTGGCTTCTGGCTTTGCCTGGCAAAAACAACAGTAAATTTAATAGTCTATTGGCCCTCCTTTTGGCTTGAATGACTTTTTCTATCCGTCTGGGCATCGAGTCGACCAAATTGTGCAAAACTGATGATTCAATTTGATTCCATAAAAGACGTATTAGGTATTGATGCAAAAGTCTTTTTCATTTTTCATTCGTACTTCTTTTGAAAAATAACAAAGTCATCAATTAAACTATGGTTTGCTCTAAATGAAAAGTGTTTTATTGTTGAATTTCCCACCTTTTTAAGTCAATTTGGGTTCACTTTCAAGCAAATTCGAGAGTGAAAAACGGGTTTTTCATAAAAATCTATAAAAACCTCTATAAAGAAATTGGCTGAATCAATTTCTCTGAAAATCTGAAAAGATATCTAACTTTTTGTGCTCTATCTTTTATTTATTAGCATCAAGATTGGTTTCCTTAGCTAAAGCGTCTAAAATGCATCATCGAGCCGTCGCCTTTTTTTGACTACCCGACTTCAGGCTCTCAAAAAAAATCTAGACTTAAGACATTTTAAACTCGTTTTAATGTCATTTTGCAGAAAAATAATTGGCCTTTCGAATGCAATAAACCGTTCTTCAATTGGTCCATTTGTTACTTTTTTGACGGAAGTACGAAAAAAAAATGAAAAAGACTTTTGCATCAACCTAATAGATAGAGCTAAAGCTCGACTTTGGACGAAAAGTGCTTCTCCTTCAATTTCGCTTTCACAATCGACCATAGATTCTCGATAACGTTCAAATCTGGTGAAAAGGGAGGTGCTTTAATTAAAGAAACACCATTAATCGCAAACCAGCCCGGAAATCGTACCCGTCCTCCATTCGAGAATCTTCCGACAGATCCCATCATAAGTTTGCTTGTGTGAACTGGCGAGTTGTCCTCTGGTAGTACAACCATCCTTGAGGTGGACACCTTAGCTTTTCCTTCATTTTTTATTGATTGATACCTTAGCTTTTCCTTCATTTTTTATTGATTCACACCTTAGCTTTTTCTTCATTTTTTTTTTCTTCTTTACATTCATGTTTTGATGAATTTTTTAAATATTTAATTTTAGATGCCGTATCTACCGACTCCAATCAAAGAAAAGATCGTTGAAGGTCGAAAAAATTAAATGAAAACAACAGATTTGGCTGAACAATTTGGATGCAGCGAGAGCACTGTGAAACGACTTTTTAAACAATCAAAGATTATCGGTTCTCTACACAGCCAGACCAAGCCAGAAGCCAGGCAAAGCTAGAATCCAGGCAAAGCCAGAAGTCAGGCAAAGCTAGAATCCAGGCAAGCTCTATGCTGACTTTACCCGACTTTGCCTAGCTCGAACGCACATGAAAACCTATTCCAAATGGCTTTTTGGTTAATCAATCAAAAATTCCAAATTTTGTCTAGAATCTCGAAATCTCTGATGATCAAAAAAATGATTCGGAAATGATTGTCAGCAACTTTTTGCAAAGGTCATACTACTTTTTTTCATTTTGCAGAAATGATCATTTCAAACGATTTGAACGATTTTTTTCGGATTTATCCGGAATTTTCGAGAAAGAAAATTGAACAAAAATTGGAGAAAGATACAAAAGCTGTGACTTGCAGAGGATAGACTAGGGAAATCCATTCTTTCAGCTCATAGCTCACTGGAGGGTTGTAATGACTGGATGGCTGTGATGACTGGATGGCTGTGATGACTGGATGGCTGTGATGACTGGAGGGTTGTAATGACTGGATGGCTGTGATGACTGGTGGCTGTGATGACTGGATGGCTGTGATGACTGGATGGCTGTGATGACTGGAGGGTTGTAATGACTGGATGGCTGTGATGACTGGATGGCTGTGATGACTGGATGGCTGTGATGACTGGATGGCTGTGATGACTGGATGGCTGTGATGACTGGATGGCTGTGATGACTGGATGGCTGTAATGATTGGATGGCTGTAATGACTGGATGACTGCAGTGATTGGATGACTGCAGTGATTGGATGGCTGTAATGACTGGATGACTGTAATGACTGGATGACTGCAGTGATTGGATGGCTGTAATGACTCAAAAAATCACTGGCAACGCTCGATCTGGAACGCACAAAAACTACTTTTCAGACTTGCTACTCATTTCTTTGCAGAATCTGTCTAGTGCGCTCCAGATCAGTCCGCGTACAATCAAAATTTCTTTCCTTTTTGTTAGAAAACTTTTGCAACTCATAAATAAAATGTTTTTTGATGAAATGTGCTTTTGAAACAAAAGTATTTTCTCAAAATCTTGTCGATTTTCGATTTCTACTCTCACACATTTCGGATTAGCCGACATATTTTATCTGTTTTTTTTTTTTTTTTTTAAAATACCCCCCGGATTTTCCTCTACTTCTCTCGATTTTTTGCCTTTATCCAAAAAGAACTTTGTTCTTTTTCCATAAAAAATGTGATTTCTTGAGACGAACTTGTGCCCATGTGACTCCAGGCGATTTTTACTCAATTTTCTTATCGGTGTAGTCAAAGTGAGAGCACTGTGATTTCTAAAAACTACCGTAACCGTTTTATGCGCTGAAAAAGCTGCTCAATCAATGGCATGCCCTCCAGATCAGACAATTTCAAAGCCCTAAAAGATTCAGGGGCATCTGTACTATGTAGACAGAGCCAGTCCTCGAACAGCTACCGTAACCCATGCGCCTTACTGGAGTCTCCGAGCACTAACAAGCTGCCCATTCACCTTTGTGCGCTCCAGATTGGCCATTCTGAGCTTTTGAAAGTCTCTTGGGACCGGAGCCGCTGTAGACAGCGCCAGCCCTCGAACAGCTACCGTAACCCGGGTGCCCTACCGTAGTCTCCGGGCACTCATAAGCTACCCATTTGGTGGCGTGCGTTCCAGATCGGCCATTCTGAGCTTTTGAAAGTCTCTGGGGACCGGAACCGCTGTAGATAGAGCCAGTCTTCTCGGCTACCGTAACCCGAGTGCCCTACCGTAGTCTCCGGGCACTAACAAGCCGCCCATTCAGTGCCATGCGCTCCAGATTGACGATAGGTAACTCGAAACTTTCAAGTGCTACCGAAATTTCTGTAATCACCGCGACCCTATTCTTTTTTTGTCGATTCTAATCTTTGCCGCGATTCTTGGGGAGATTCTGGGGAGATTCTGGGGAGATTCTGTGGAGATTTTCGACCCCTGACCCCTCGTTTCAGTTTCAATCATTCCGAAAAGCTTAGCCTGGTCTATTTTTATTCATTTTTTTTCATCCCTTTTACATTTTTTGTGAAAAAAAACCCCGACCACTTAGTCGATCTTCACATAAAAAAAAAAAAAAAAAAGCGTTTATCGCCGAGATTTCTGAGTCTAGAAGGCAAAAAATGAAAATGAAATGAAAATAAAATGAAATAAAATGCATGATTTACGACAAGAAATCCCGGGGATTTGAAACAGAAAATGAAGAAAAATTATCAGCAAATGATTTGTCATTTGTGAAACAAAAATCAAGAGTTCTAATGGTTTTCGGGGGCTAATGCAAAATGCTTTCGTTTCAGTCGATTTTTAAATCTCGGAATT